GCTAATAAAGATTTATTGAGAAAAATACAACAATTGGGTAATGAAGTTACTGAATGATAAAGGATTCAACTTCTGTTATATTAATAAAACTAAAAATTCTTCCTAAGGATATGTCTTGTATTGATAGTAAAACCAAAGAGTCTAGTAACATTTAATGTAAATGCATCAAAATTTTATGCTCTAGCAAGAATCTGTAAAGAGGGAATGCCTTTTCACCTTATTAGACCTAATACTGGAGGTCCTACTTATAACTTAACCAAATATTTGGAGTTAGGTTAGCATTTCTCATTAAATTAAGTACATTTGCATGTAAAATTTCAAATTAATTTGTTTCAAAAGTGAGAAAACACAGCTTGAAAAAGTTAATAATGATTTTTTGATATAAAAAATTCCTATTTAATAACACTTAATATTAGTGTTCAAACTGGCAGATGATTTTCACATTATATTGTCCCACCTTGGGTCCATTCTGCTTAGAACTAACTTTTTGCATCAATGTCATGGTTATAATGTACTAATGTATTACTGAATGCTCCCACTGGTTTTTCACATCAGTGATTAAAATGTTCATGTGTTAATTGAAGAAAATGGTAACCATTTATGTATTAATCATACCCCAATAGGCCAAAAAAGACCCCCTCCCATTTTTTGACCACTAGATATACGTGTGGTTTATTTTTAGGAAGATATTATATCCAGCACTATCATAAAACCAGTTGTTTTTATGTACATTACTTAAACAGTAAGTTTACATACATATCCAAAAGGTATAGTATATATTTTTTAGAATAACAATGTTCGGATTCAGTTCGTATATTAAGTTGAAAAAGAAAACTGTTTGCCCTTTTTAAATATAAAAGTAATTCACAGTGAAGATAAAATCAGAAAAAAACATGTATAGAGAAAAGAGTGAGTTTTGTTTTCTCATTCACAATTGAGTCACCATTTCTCACAAAAAAGTAGATGTATATAAAACTATGATTTATAGAATGCTTAGACTCCCCTCAGATAAAGAGAGAATTCAAAAGGATACATAATATCTAAAATCATTCATTGTTAACATAATTTTTATATCATAGGGATAGAAATAATAAAATAAAATTACATTCACTCGAGGGAAAGCTATCATGAAGCTTACATTCCCTCATGTTAAGTTGCATTTCCTCATGAATTGTTTTTTTATTTAATCCGTGCAATATGCTTTCTTTTATTGGTCATAACAAAAGGAATACAGATAGGCCATGCATTCCCAATTGGGAAAGTCAACTAAAAAGAGGAAATTCCTCAAGCAAAGTTAAATTTCTCGGGAATGTAATATTTCAATCCCTGTATCATTTATAATAGATAAAACATTTTTGAAATTAAGTAAACCTAATTATAAACTAAACTGATTGACTCTAATGATAAACATTTCACTAGTATTACTTATTATTCTAGTCTTTCTGAAAAAGTAGCAAATGTTTTGATTAATAAAAAAATAATTTTCAAGTGGCTTTTAAATATTTAATGAAATGAAGTACCCCTTTTTTTAGAGAATAAGACTAGCCTGAATTAAATAAATGACAGAGTAATTATGAAATAACTGTGTTTGTATAAAAAATCATACACTGGACAAACTAAACATTCTTTAACTGTAAGAAAAATGGAATAATGGAAATTACCAATTACAAGGGAAGATACCATGTCAGCTGTGGCTCAAAATAGTACTGAAACTGATCATTCTATTCTATGGGATAATGTAAAAATAACAGCAGAGTCAGTGTTTCATCATCAAAGAAATATTAGAGATAGTATTGAGATAGTTAGTAGAAAGGTAATTTATTAAATAATAACAAAGGACCTGAGCTACATTCAATATGAAATAATTTTTTTCTCCCTATAAAAAAGATGGCATGTTTGGTCAAGTTAATGATGACATAGGTTACATGAACTAATAGATAAAATACTTTGAGTTAAAATAAATATTCTAATGAGGACAACTGACTCAAGAGGTTGATTTGTTTTAGTTTGATTTTAAATAAACTTATTCATGTTTAGTAATTTTTGATTTGTTGTTGCTGTTGTTTTCTCTCATTGATGCTGTAGTTGTTTGACACGTTACTGGAACATAAAGACGATATAGCTTGTTTGATAATTTTTCTTAATGATGGGTAAAGTTAATTCTAGTAGAATACATATTAATAAGTAAATAAATAATTGGTGTTAGAATAAATAAATGAATAATGTATTAGTAATCCTTTCCTTAATTCTGATTTATAAATGACTGAAGTAAAATTTATACAAATTACACTTCATCAACCAAATCTAATTCACACTACAACAGACGTTGTTCATGAAGTTTCATAAGATAAATAGCATCTCAACCACTACTGTCTGTTGTATCCAAGCTAGTTTGAAGAGTCCTGTTATTGGGTGAAAGGCCTCACTGGCACTGGATATACTAGATACAGTGTGGTTGATATATTGTTATACATTCTTCTTTACTTTCACTCATAAGTTTTTAAAATATGTATAGATTCACATGTATTTTATATTCAGAAAAAAAAAGTTTTATAAGAAATTTTTCAGTTAATTTGTATCACTTAAAATCCCAAGTTGTGCTACCCAATCATCTGACATACTAATGTACTTCAAACACCTATGAAAGTCATCTACCATAAGAAACCTACATCTTTTCCACTCCGATAATTCAGAGACACAGAAATGTTACAAATGTTTTTAGCTTGTGAAGATCTGGTTTGGTAACAGCAACATGGCAATTACACTGTCTACAATAGCATCAACTAGTTCATTAAAGAAACTGTTTGTTAACACGTAGAGCTAAGTTACACAAAACTATTCATAAAGAATAGACAGGCTGAGTGGCAAATCCAGTCAGGCACTGTAGCATGTTACTTAGATGGTACTGCCTGAATAAACTGTACTAATAAAAAACTACTAGTGAAAAACTCATTATTACCTAACTCTCAGCAGTTGAGTATTTATATACCACAGCTCAGAATACATTAGTATCAGATGTTTACAAATAATTAACACAATTGCATCACAAACCAATCAACAATAAGCACTTTGTACAACCAATATAATGTGACTATTTAGTTACACATCATACACTGTGGTTTAAGCTCAGCCAAGATGATTACATAATAGGTTATAGTTTACAGTGTGTAATATGACAATATATGGTTTTGTAATGATTTTGTACCAAAGATGCCTGCATCAGAAGGAAGAAATAATGCTCACTTGATTCTTCAGAAGTGTTGTAATTTTTTTTGGCCATCTCATGTTAGAATAATTGATTAGTTGAATGTAACTGAATAATGAGCTTGATCTTTTATTAGCAAATTTCATTAATCATCCATCTCTGTTCATATTTAATATACACTGTAAGCTGAACAATTATATAACAACTGGCAACAGCATAGCTACACAAAAACATGAACTCATAGATACACATAAAACTAATACTAAATATACAGAGAATAAATGGGTGACAATTTTATTCAATGTTATTATATATAAAAATCTCCAGAAGAATTTTCTCCAAAATATAAAACAATTAACCTTTATAAAAGCATTCACTGTTCACACTGTCTTTAGATTTTGAAACTAATGGTCTAAATGTTTAAGAGCTTTACAGCCTCATCCCCTTTTTTCATATACAGATACATGCAACAGCTACTGAAAAATACTATCAAAGCATTAATATTATAAATTATACATGAAGATGTGAAAACAATAAGAAAAAGCTAGAATGAGATGTAGCAACAAAACTACAATGATGAAAACAGCAAGTATATCCTGCAATAAAATACTGTTATACAATATAAACTACAAATAAACAATTAAAATATATGCTGGAAATGATATTTTTGAGAAACCTTAGACTGCTTCCTCAATAACAATGAATTTGGCCTAGAGAACAATAATTACAACAAGTATATGCCTGCAATAAAAGACTGTTATGCTATATAAACACACTGTTACATATATAAACCACAAACAAACAATTACAATATATGCTGCAAATGAGATTTTTGAGAAACCCTAGACTGCTTCCTCAATAACAATAAATTTGGTCTATTGATTTATATGTATAAAAAGTATCAAAAAGCACAGGTGTGATATACTGTTCACACATTTATTTACATGCATATATATATATATATAAACATGAGCATCAATAAATCAACTTCACATTTTGATACCAGGTAACTGTGTGAAAGATCTTTTTACTTCAGTTAGTCATTCACTCTAAAAATCTGTATTGATTACATTTCATGTCATCTGTGATAAATGTTTAAAGCTATTTCAGAGCTATAATTCTCACAGAAAAATCATCTTATTTCTGCTATTTTAGATATGCCCATTTTTAGATTTAATTCATAAATATAAAACATTTAAAAATTGTTTTGTCAAATTTCATTCTTTGTTTTTTTACACTGGTGAAGAGATTGTAAAATAGATTCAAAACTGGCCTTTACTTGTTTTTGACAGAGATTACATCATTGAAGATGAAATCATCTAACAATTTACAATTAGGTGAAAATAGTTTGTAGGAAAATTTGTTGGGTTCAATCATTTTACCTTATATGATTTCATTTGACAAAACTTTACTAAAATCCAGAAAAAGTTTAGGTTTCTTGAGAGTTTAAATCTATTTGACACATACATATATCAATGGTACTGAACCTTTTTTCTTAATGTATAAAAGCAGCACTGACACATATATATATATATATATATATATAAGTATGGAAGATAATAAAATTTTAAAATAAAACATTAATTTGATTCAATCATACACAAAATAATTTCTCTCTTTTTTTATTTCCTTCTTTAAACTACAATATTGAAACAAGACCACTATCATTGTGGTTCTCCATTAGAATGCTCGTGGACCTCTAAGGGTCTGAGGACCACAGGTTGAGAACCATAGTGATACATTTTACTCAAATGTAATGTCAAACTACATAGACATACGAGTTGAAAACACTTACTGCATTAAAATGGCCATTTTGATGAGAATAGCTTGGTACCGTAGCTTCTTGGAAAAATATACTCAATGCAGTCTGAAAGATATGTCAAAACAAAAAGATAACTTCAAAACATTATTGTGCAAAGAAAGCAATTAAATGTTAAAATTAAGGTTAGACACTTTATAAAAATCATCTGTATGTGCTAGCACAGTGGCATGTCACTGCAAATCAGTGTGGTAGCACCACAAACAACATTTTTAGCACAGTAAATTCATGAAGATTTATGGGTGCAAAGATATGTCACAATTCTCTCAAAACATGATATTCATAGAGCAAGATTAAATGATGTGGAGCTAAAAAGATTGCATTTCAGAAGGGAACCTTCAAAGTTCTCTCTGCAAAAGGAGAAAAACTCAAAAGACAGTGTGTTTAAGACACCAACAGGTCTCTGGAACCATGTTCCACATATTTCCTAGTACCACCGGCAAGATACTAACCATGAATTTGAAGATTACAAAGGCTTACAAGCCAAAAGTTCACAAAATTCCATGAGGATGATAGCCACAAGACATGGAATTACTGTAACTATCATGTCCTCTAATGAACTTTTGCCTGTGGTTTGCTTAAGCATTATTGGAATTCTATGTCCATATGGAAAGTTTGCAAGATATGTGGCCCAAGATTCATAATGCTTACACAGAAGCTTATTAAAATGGAAATTCATGCATTGTGCAGTAATGCACAATCATGAAAATCAAAGAGAGTATGACATATAGAGGAGGAAATAATTCCAAGAGAAGCATAGGACTATGGAACATCATTCTTATTACAGGATGTAATTAATCCTCAGTATATAGTACATAAATACAAGAATTACCAAGTGAAAAGTCATTATGATAAATTTTATAAGAACTAATACAAATAACTTTTTTAAATAACAAAAAACTGAAATTAACAGAGTAAAAATGACTCCATAATAATTCATTATACATAAATGCAACATGAAATTTTAAAATTACATACTATTTTGCCTAGTGATTTCTTTTTTAAATCTGAAAATATTACTACTGTTTTTAAACAAAAATTGTTTCTAAATAAGCTTGTTTAAGTATTTGCATATACTTAAATTTAAAGCTTCTCTAATATCAGCCCGTAACTTTTCAGTTAATCAAATGATCCAAGTTTCTCAACTGAAAATATTATCTACATGTTAAAGAATGTATTGTGTGTTTTGGTACATCTCAAATAAATATGTTCTACTGTGACCTTGTCCAGACTGTCTAGTATGCACACAAGTCATCTGACAGAGTGAGCAAAATCTTACTACTACAAACCTGAATAAAGCAAAATAAGCTGACACTTATCTCAATATGTTTTGTTAGTTTCAACTTTCTTTCAAAATGTATACTTCTATAAAAAAAACACCTACTCACTACAAGCAAATATCACAGTTAGAGAATTACAGGTGAATGATGATTTGCTGAAACAACTGTAACTTCTCATGACATAACACATGAGCAATATACATAACTAAAGATATGTATACAGATTTTTGGAACTACATTCAGATGTAATTTTCCAAATACACTAAATGTTGCACTTTTTGTTTTGTGAAGTACATTTAAAAAAGTTAATATTAAATAAATTATATGCAGCATGACCTTGGAAAAAGGGATTTTGGTGACTAACCAATAAATAGTTAATTACTAAGATTTTTATGTAACTGGTAGAAAGCAGATATTTGTTAAATATATTAACATTTTTTAAATTAGGAGTACGTAACTAAAGATTTCTAAGGGATTTGTTTTGGTGTCTTTATATCTTATAAATTTATGTCAATAACTTGGAGATTTTTAGGATGGTAATATTTATAAATTTGCTGTTGATAATAAGATGCTAAAAAGATTTCTCTCAAGTACATTTTTATAGTTTAAAAAGGATCAGTATGATTTTAGTGATTGTGCCAGAATATTTACAATGAGCTGTTATGTTAGAAAATATAGTTGTGGACTTCAAGTAAGGAAATTTGTAAAGAGTTACTTGTTATGTTAAAATAAAATTGAATGTTGTGGGAACTTGGGAGTGGGGAAATTAGCAGTAATTGTTGATTAGAGTTGATCGAGGTCAAAGAGAAATAAGATAAATTGTGAAGCTTCCACGTATTTATAAAAATCTTTAGTTTATGAGTAAGGATGTTATTTTAACTGTTTAAAACTCTTGTGAGGCCTCATTTAGAATAAACTTTGCAGTTTGGTCTTTTTACTACAGAAAAAATCATCATACTAGAATGAGTAGAGAGATATAATATAATGAAAAGTGATTTAACACATTCGCTGCCACCAGTAGTATTAATAATTTCTACCCTAGTGTCAACAACACTTAACCCAGGTGTCTAATATTTATATGGGTAACTATGCTATGTATAATTAACTCACTAGAGCCACTTGTAATATGTGACCCCACTAGTGTGTCACGAGGTCCATAACTAAAAGTCGATTGTGACCCACTGGAAGGGCACATGGCAGTGAATGTGTTCAGAAATTTGTGTCCAGAACTGAGGCCCCAAGGTTTGGACTTGTTTTAGTTTTATATGAAACACAGATCTGAGAATTTGATCGAGCAGTTTAAAAATGATCATACTCATATAATCTCTTTATTAATGGTCACTTATGAAATGGAATGAAAAAAAAATTTAAAGGTAAACTTGAACATTAATAATAACACAATAAGTAGTGAGCATTAAAAACCAAGGTAGAGAATTATTCTTTGACAAAATTTTTCTATTAGGGTTACATGCTTATGGGATGGTTTGCCTGATAATGAAGTGTCAAACTAAAATGTTCTTATGTTTCTTAATTCTCAAATTATTGACTTGTTTTTATACCATTCACTAATAGTGATGTTCACAGATTTTATAATACTGGGTAATTTTATGTTTTTCCCTGTAATGACACCTAGTGTAAAGGGAAATGAACAAAAGCTTTCAAATTATTAATTTTTTATATAAAATATATAGAGGACTCCAGTAGTAATCTTAAGGATTAATTCTATTGTTGACAATACTGTTATTTATGTTTTTTTGTCTGATTCATGTTATTATATGTCATTAGGGATCTTGTAATCAACAAAGACATAGATCCACAAGCAATTTGATACATAAATAAGTTAGAAAAATATGTTCAAAAACTAGAGTTAATGAGAACCATAAATTAAGTTAAATCTGCAACACTTGTTGTATATGTATCTTTCATCATCATACCATTTATTCATAAATTATCTTAAAAGAGTCTGTTATCATCATTTGACTATTTATCACTTTCTACCATAAGATTTTTGCTAAACATGTCTAATTTAAAACAGTTAATTTGAAAGAACTTAAAAGAAATACATTAAAAAATAATAATGTGCAAGTTTTTGCATTTTCTAATCATTTATTATAAAACGTCTATGGTTTAGTTACAAAAAAAAGATAGTTCCCACATACTAAAACAAGTAGGCAATTAAGTTAACTAGCTAATCCTTAGTTAACAGCTTAAATTAGCAGAGAATACTTAAACTTAAAGAATTAGTTATAATATAGATACTTTTAGAAACAGCTTTTAAATTATATACACATGCATTATGAAATAATCCAGATGCATTTCTACCAGTGCTATAATTCTCTCTAACATTAATTTGTTAAACTGTGAAGTACAAGTATAATATGGAAATACAAGATAAATATTTCTTGTTAATCCTTTATTTGTTGGTAAAGTGATATAGTTGAACATAAATAATTTTATGAAACGTTAAGAACTTCAAATTAGGTTAATGATAGATTTGAAAGTAAAATAAACAGTCTAGTGTTGCATAGTTCCCCTACTTCTGTACATTTTATTTACTAATCACTTTCTAGCACTGCCACAGTAATAAATGTACATGAAAGTCGTGATTAACCTACAGACCGGTTATTTCAACACGCTGCCATGTTTGTTGGTCTTAGTTAAACATGAGTAGAAGAGGTCAATGAATGAGCCACTACTATCAGTAAGCTTTGATTTTTGGTAATAAACTTACCTCAAACTGCCAATGTGCTGCTTGTAATAACTGTTTGGCTTGGTCTCTTGCACATCCAGCAGCCAGAACAAACTGATTTATCATAACTTGTTCCCTTAAAGACTCCATAATAATAGAGATACTACAAAATACTACAAAACCTCACTCCGTCCGAAACCATTTAAAACAAACGTGGTGTGTACACTCTACATAACAGAACACCTCTTGCCTTGCTGGATGACGTTATGTCCTTGAATGCCATTGGTGGATTTGTGAAATCATATATGTTCACGAGCATGCTCTCTGTTGTTTACAAACAAAGTAAACACACTTCCTATCATAACACAGCAGAGTGGTACCATAATTACTTAGAAGTATTTATTGGTCGTATGTTAAAACTTTATTAGGTGAGATAAGGCTTACAAAGTATAAAAGTTATTTCAAATAATTAGGTTTTATTTTATGATTACACATTTTTTGTATCCGTTATAACATAAATGTTAAAACAATTAAGCGAAAGAGAATCAACTTGTTAAATTAAACTGAAGAAAATCGATAAATTACAAAAGAGCTATACATATTGGTAAATGGTTAGCCGGGCTTAGGCTAGTGATTGACATCCTGGGCTGCGGTTCGATGAAGCAAGATAATGCCGCTGAATACGCTCTGCACTTCCAGAAGTAGGTAAGTTATAAAAGTGACAGTTAGTTCCATTGGTCGGTCAACGACTCGAACAAAGCCTTTCAGCTGCGGGCTGCCTTCTCTCTAGTCAGGTGTCATTCAAGTTGAGAATTCTAATTTAGTAAATTATTATATAACGCTTCTGATATATTTCTCCTCATAAAAATAGAATAATATAAAAGCAATAGTTTGAACATAATAAAAAAATTCCCAAAGAGACTCAACTTAAAGGAAGATAATGTTGCGTCAGCGAAGTCACATGACTAGTGTCACGCCACGTTTCTAGAACTATCCTGTACCTTGGTGAGTGCTCTAGCATTTACTAGATATAGGGTAGCCTGGTATATAAAAGAGGGTGACAACGTGACGGGACAATAGTGTGTGTGTAGACAGTGAGTAATTGATCTGCAGTCAGAGAGTATTATTGAGCACGTTCGTTGTTATAGCGTTTGTTTTAGCGCGATTGTTGAAATTAAGTGTATCGTAAAGTTATATTCAGAAAGAATAAACCAGTTTTATTAAGTAAGGACTTGGGTCGCTAAAGTTTCGTCGGAACAAAGTTACGGAAAGTTAATTAACAAACGGAGACGTAACAATAATTTAGAACAGATCAGCGTAATCTAGAGAAAATGAAGTGTTAGCTCATATGTATTGAGTGTTTCTTAAATATACGATATCAGTTTTAATTATTTTTTGTCAGAATGCAATATCTTTAAAAGATGTGAGTTACATTTTTGTGTGTAAAGAAAGTATGGCCAATGTGTTGTTTTGAACTGACGAATCTGTATAAATATGTGTATGTATCTGTTCCTCATACGTTTCCAGATTTCTTGATCAATCAGCGCAACTTGACACAATGATGCAGGATGACATGAGGAAAGTTATGAGAAGTTCTTGATAGAACTCTTAGAAACGGTATGTCTTTCTTTTCAGTATTGGTAGTTTTATGTATTTTTATTGCACTTTTAAGGTTTATTATATTAAGAAAAAATATAGAAGCGCAATTTCGTATCCTTTGTAACAAACGAGCTTTTATTTCACCCGTCCAGCCCTCCAGTGGCATAGCGGCATGTCTGCGGACTTACAAAGCTAGAAACCGGGTTTTGATACCCGTGGTGGGAAAGGCACAGACAGCCCATTGTAAAGCTATGTGCTTAAATACAAACAAACAAAACCGCCCAAAGGACGGGCACCCCAGCTAGTAATATATAATGGTCTTAAAGTTGACTGGAGAGCTTAACGAAAGGCCTGGTGATTAAGGTACTCAACCTGCAATCTGCGAGTCGCGGATTCAAGTTCTAATACTGAACATGCTTTCTCAGCCGTGGGGGTGTTATAATGTGACGGTCAATCCATTATACGTTAGTAAAGAGTAACCCAATAGTTGGCTATTAATTCAAACTCACGGATAGATAGTACGCGAGTACCTTTGCGCGAAATTCAACAGGCAAACAGTTTGAAGAAATAATACAGAAAAATAAGTAATAAAAACATATTGTTAAACATTTAAGTGAAAGCGACGAACTGAAAATAACTGTATACAGTATAATCTCTAACGACTAGGCTTGACGTAAATCAGTTAATTTGTTTGTTATGAATTTCGCGCAAAGCTACACGAGGGCTATCTGCGCTAGCCGTCCCTAATTTAGCAGTGTAAGACTAGAGGGAAGGCAGCTAGTCATCACCACCCACCACCAACTCTTGGGCTACTCTTTTATCAATGAATGGTGGGATTGACCGTCACATTATAACGTCCCCACGACTGAAAGGGCGAGCATGTTTGGTGTGAAGGGGATTCGAACCCGCGACCCTCAGATTGCGAGTCGAGCGCCCTAACCACCTGGCCATGCCGAGCCAAATCAATTAGTACGATCCGCGTTGAATGAGGGTTCCAATCCTAATAGATAATGATGATGACATCTATTGTGCTAACGCTTATATTGATGTCCAACTGATATTGTCAAGTGCGAGGATTAGTCTTGTTTATGAAAAAGCAATGTAACCGTGAGGCTGTTTTAGTAACTAAAAACTATACTAGCTATAACTATAATAGCTAAGGACTTAACACTTTACACTTGTTGTAATGAACACATTATAATAAAGGGACAAAATGTATTTCTTCAAAATTAGGAACAGTATTATAATGTGAAGGAGTTAAGTTTAAAAAAATTATATTGAGAGACTTCAGCAACTTACCTTAATATCACACAATTTTGAGATTCATCTTGATCTGTTATGAACCTTATATACGGAAAAAGATACACAAATAACCGAATAATTGATAACGATTGAATTATAAAAAGATTAGTTTCATTTAGAATAAAGTTATAACCTGTACGTAGCAAAACGTGCACTTTGATGTTATTGCACATTTTTAAAATTTTGCCTAGTAAGGAACATTTGGGATAATCTCCTTCTAATGACACTGATGTAAAATCGAACATTATTAATCACTCTCAATTGCTCGTTTTACTAATTAGGAAGATTGACAAAATTATAGGACATTCCGGATAAAGGCATCAAATGTGATTTGACTTATTGGTAGGATCCATCAAATCAAAGGTCTTTTAACTGTCATATGTCCAGTCGTGGTATTTTTCCCCATATTTATCTCATAATGTGACGGAGATGTTTTCGCTTTTTGAGTACAACATAAAATCTGTGGATTTAAAAATAAAAGCGATACCATAATTTATTGTTTAGCTCTTAAAATGCTTTAATTTAGAGTGTAATACATTTCTTAGCTCTTTAACAGCGGTTTAACATGTCCAATATTTGTACATCATAACTCCATGTGGTTAGAGATATAGTTCCAGAAGACATATGTTATGAATGTAGTTTATGTCATTAAAAGAATGTGAAACTGAACTTAAAATTATTATTTCTATTCATTGTAAGTGCAATATTACACGTTACATACATGAGTTTAGTTCATTGATGAAAATCGAGACCTTTCCTATGCGTTACTTTTCATAGTTACAGTTGCAAAGTTTGTATGTTTCCAATGGGATTTTTTTAAACACACCTGGCACCATAGTCATTCTTGATTTGGCATACACACTTCACCAGTTCATTGTAGGTTTGGAGGCCATGGGTAGGGTAATTTAGACGGGAAGCCGAAAATGATTGACCTTATACCAAATCTAACATTAGTCCTCAGGAATAGGTGGGTGTTTTTTGAATTAATATGCTGTTTATTTAGATTCCAGCCTTGTAAGCAATACGCTTTGAGTGCTGAAACAGAAAATATTGGATAGAAAAGTTATTTTCCGTGGTATTATTCCATTGGCAGAATAATTCCTTCCTTGCCTCATTAACGTGTTTCAGGTTGGTGGTATTGTCATACAGGGCGACTGTGAAACATTCCAGAAACTGGAAGCAGGATATTTCCTAAGATTTTTTTCAACTGCACAATTATATTTTAACTTCATCATTTTTTAATACATGACGCCTTATTGCACATCATATACAATGTATATAGGCCTTGTAACAAATGATCCAAAAAATGAAGAATACTCTAGTAAATACATTAATTTATCAACTCTGGAATAGAATTTTATAATCTTAAATATGTTTTTAATATTTATCCACTTGAACTTACTTATATAGGTGAATTTTCAAGTGCACAAACATTTTTTACAGGTGCACAATTTGTGATCAACTGCACACTAGGAAAAACCTTAGTTGGAAGTGTTGAGATTTCATGCATGGTTGGATGTAAAAATTAATGTCATGTATGTGAAGGCCAGAGTCACCTCAGGAAACGAATTCCACGCCTTCCGTGTCGACTTCTTTCTAAAAGATAACTAACGTGGTATCACAGCCTGTGAGACTACAGAAGAAGGGTAGGGCCAGGGGTTATATTCTCAGGGCATGGAAGACGGCATTGACGTGAAAATAAGGTAAAGTTCTTGCTTGTACCAAAGATCATTCAAATGTCTGTAACTTGTCGTAGAACTTGTCAATAAGGATCACAGTTAAGTCTGTTTTGAATAACTTGTATAATAGTGTTACAATTGTTGCACTATGCTGTTCGTTTTTACTTTTATTTCTTTAAGTTTACTGACTTCATTCCTTTAACCTGGACGTCAGTATCCACAATGCATACCAAGCAGATCCTAGATCCCTTGTTCAAGATATTCTTCAGGATAATCAGTAGTTTTGTGTCTGCCTATATTCAGTTAACCGATTCCCTATGCAGTTTTTTCTCAGTTCTTATTACTAGTAATGGCTAAAATACTGTTAAGACAGCGGGGTCACGTGACGCTAGTAACACGTCATATTCTCGAAGGTTCGTGAAGGCTCGTGTGTTTACTAGATATGCGTATTCATGTATATAAGACCGCCAAGAAGTGACGGCAACGATGTAATGTAATTGAACTGCAGACAGAGATAGAGACTGACAAATGAGTCAAGCATGTGAGTCGTTCGTTGTGAATTATAGCGTGACTGTGAAAATTAAGTGTATTGCAATGTTGTATTCAGAAAGAATAAACCAGTTTTATTTAAGAAAGGACTTGTATCGCTAAAGTTTCTTCGGAAAGAATTTTTACGGAAAATTAACAAACGACCAGAGACGTAACAATATGATAAAGTACAGAGCTTAGTTATGTCTATATTCTCTCAGTGGATCAAAGTCGTAATGAAAGAGGAAGGTAGTGAGAAAGAGGAAGTGGAAATGACAGAAGAGGAAATATAGATGATGGAACCCTGGTGAATATTTACCTCTTGCACCCTGTGTTACATATTTTTGAGCATAATAAACGTCACGAACATTATCATATTGAGATAAATATCTGTCACTTGAAATACGTTATTTTCTGGGTAATGTTTGTAATGTTAAATACTTTAAGTTCAAGAATGGAATAAATAACAAATTAAAATATTTTTGGTGCTATACAAAAAGATGAAATCTTTTTTTAAAATCATTATATTCATGTTAGTAAAAAAAAATGATTTTCCAAATTGAAGAAAATATACGATCCCGCAAAACAGCTAATAAAAACCTTAACATGCACTGATTGTTTGGATCCTAACGAAAAAGTAATAGCTAAGAGCCTAAGGAAGAATAAAAATAAACATTGGTGCTTTTATCATAGGCTTTGTTGTGCTTATCGCAGTTTCTTGTGTTCATATAGGCTAGTACTTGTTGGGATACGAAATACACCAAATGATAAATGTATGCTTGAAAAAAACTCAATATAGGAAATTCAAAAATCTGGGTTTCTCTGTAGCCCCATTTCCGATAAAAAGAAAAAAAAAAGACTTGTTAAAACTTATGTCGTGTACGTAAAAGGCGAATACAATTGTTGTAAACGTGTTCATTATTTAAAAAAGGAAATTACTAGTTTATGTAACGTGTAGTGATTCAAAAAACTAAAAAGATAATGTATCTCAGTTAATGTTAATGCTTTCTTGTCCTATAATGAGCCTCCCTAATCAGCTTTAATTCTTCGCTGATTTTCGGTTCATGTCAAAATATATGTTCAAGTTGGTAGTTATTGTTATTTAGTTGCTATAAAACTGGATGTTGATCAGGATTGTTATTATAAGTATAGGATATGTTTTCAGAACGTACAAAGATCAGATGCGATTTTGCAGGAACTAGGAAGCCACTAGGTGTTCTATATGGGTTAGTTTTGGCAGTGTATTCATCTAGAAGTAGTTCTTTTAATGGAATTCTCCTGCTCATAGTTTTATTTATTCTTGAAATAACGTTTAGGGTTCTATGACGAACCTTTTTCAGGTTTATCAGTGGCAGGGTAACTGTATTATTTTTACAAATGGTCCGTGGGTAAAGCTCTAAGTTTGCTTCAACCTGATTAATGTGTGAAACAGACTTCAGAGAGGATTCTTGACGATTCCGATTCGCTGATGTGGGTTGTGAATTAATCCTGTGTTGTTTAGATTTCAGAATGCGGTTTTAGATTTTGTTTGTTTCTGCTCCTTGATTTCAGTTTACGCTTCATTTTCTTTTTTATTCCAAGAGCCTCTTTTATTTTCTCAGGTTTTCTATTTTACTCATTGTTTAGGATTTCACACTTCTGCCACTAGATATTGTATCTTGTATGTAAAAGAATGCATTTAAAATTTGTATTTCTGGCAAAGCTACCAAGGCTATCTCCTGCCGTCCCTAATTTTGAGCTATTGACCGGATGAAAAGCAGTCAGTAAGAAACACCCTTCAACCCACTCTAAGGGATTTACTGCAAATGTTATAACGCACTCACAACTTAAAGTGCGGAATCTATTTTATTATAACGCACGGTTTCGAACCCAGCTCAGAAATCCAAAATTATATTACAAGGCCAATCCACGTCCTTGAGGGATTTTGTTTGTTTGTTAGTTTGTTGAATTTCGCGCAGAGTTACACAAGGGCTATATGCGCTAGCTGTCTCTAATTGAAAAGTGATAGACTAGAAGGAAAGCAGCTGGTAAACACCACCAATTGTGAACTCTTGGGTTATTCTTTTACGAACAAAAAGTGAGATTAACCGCAAATTATAAGACCCCTCAAGATTTAAAAGGCGAGCATATTCGGTCATGGGATTCGAGCGTGGCCCAAATATTGCGATTAGAGCACCACCAGACCATGCCAGGCCGACTCGTAATGGAATTTGCAACTATTGAGAAATGTTTAGAATTAAATGATTTTGCTGCGTAAGCTTTTTCGTTGAACCTTCGTTTCGTTTTTCTTCTGGTCTCTCCGAAGTGGGGCTCGGCATGGCCAGGTGGTTACGGCACTCGATTCGCAATCTGAGGGTCGCGGGTTCGAATCCCCATCACACCAAACATGCTCGGACTTTCAGCCGTGGGGGCGTTATAATGTGACAGTCAATCCCACTATTTGTTGGTAAAAGAGTAGCCCAAGAGTTGGCGGTGGGTGGTGATGACTAGCTGCCTTCCCTCTAGTCTTACACTGCTAAATTAGGGGTAATATGGGAAGCAGATTAGAAGTTAAAATGTTTACATACTTCAATTTTTAAGCTAAAGTTTTACCTAAAAATAGATTTTCGCTTTATTTATTCAGCAGATTTGACGTTTCACATTTTTATTACGTCGTGCACTGTGATTAGTTTCCATATTTTGAGTAAATACTGGAATAAAGACAAGGTATTATTGTTTTTCTAGAACTAGATTTGGTCATGTGGAGGGAATCATAGGCTTTGCTATCGTTCTGTCCAAATACAAGTAGTTATTTCTTTGTTTGTTTTGAATTTCGCGCAAAGCTACGCGAGGGCTATCTTCGCTAGCCGTTGAATTCATAAGACATTTAGTTTAATATATGAAGCAGATTAGAAGTTATGAATTCATAAGACATTTAGTGTAATATGGGAAGCAGATTAGAAGTTATGAATTCATAAGACCTTTAGTTTAATATATGAAGCAGATTAGAAGTAATGAATTCATGACATTTAGTTTAATATATGAAGCAGATTAGAAGTTATGAATTCATAAGACATTTAGTTTAATATATGAAGCAGATTATAAGTTATGAATTCATAAGACATTTAGTTTTACTTCTAATCTGCTTCATATATTACACTAAATGTCTTATGAATTCATAACTTCTAATCTGCTTCCCATATTACACTAAATGTCTTATGAATTCATAACTTCTAATCTGCTTCATATATTAA